ATAGCAGAGCAGGGCAGAACAGAGCTAGGTGGGGAAAACTAAACTGAATGCTGGGAAAAAGAAGGCAGAGTAGGGAGAAGTCATGTAATCCTGCTGAAGACAGACACTGGAACTTTACCCGGTAATCCACAGCCTCATAGCAATACACAGATTAACAGAAATGGGTTAAATTAAGATGTAAGAGTTAGCCAATAAGAAACTAGAGCTAATGAGCCAAGCAGTGATTTAAATAATACAGCTGCTGTGTGAGTATTTCAGGAGTCTGGGCGGCCTCCTACTGCACTTCATGATAATCCAGGAGAAATTAGGGGATTCAAGGGACATGCTCAACATAATAAAGACATTTTACAGTGATCCCAGGAGCAACAACAACTTAGATGAAAGAAAGACAATTCTACAACCCAAAACAAGACAAGGTTGTTTACTCTCTCTACACCTATTTTATGTGGTCCATTTTCTTTTTATAACTTATTTTCTGTGCATTGGCGTGAGTGTGTCAGATCCCCTGGAACAGAGTTATAGACACTTGTGAGCTGCCATGTGGGTGCTGGGAACTGAACCTGGGTTCTCTGGAAGAACACCCAGTGCTGTCAAGCACTGAGCCATCTCTCCAGTTCATGGTCCATTTTTGCTCTTAACTATGTTGTTTGAGTTCCTGATATTTAGTTGCTTTATTTTTAATTTGATATATATATTCCAGCCACAAATCCTCTGACCTATGTATACCTTACAAAGATTTTCTGTGGAATGCCTCTCCTTTGAGTTCCTTTCCTTTGTTGTCCAGAAACTTTTCAGTAGGAGGTGACTTCAGTAGAATCTTGCAAAACAGGATAAATATATATGCATATAGCCAGTGGGGATAGTACTGTTTATGTGATATGAATGAACAAGGAGGAAATACTGGAGGCCGAAGGTTTAAATATGGATGAAAACAGCATAGTGGAAAGTAGGGTTAGGAAGTGGGTTAAAGAAAGCTACATATGTATTTTAAAAGCCTGAAACACCACTAGCTTGTAAGCTACTTAAAAATACCTTTTGGGAAAAGAAGCCCTGGCTCTCCTGGAACTCTGTCTTTCTGTGTAGACCAGATTTTGAACTCTGCCATGTAGGAGAGCAGTCTAACCACAAACCCACAAAGCTCTGAACAAGCCGCTATCACCACACATTAGAGAAAAAGCTGATCGCAAAATCCACGAATGACTAAATAAAATGTCAGTGTCAGGCACAGGTCACTGGTCAGAGAGGGTTCCAAGGCACACGAAACGATATCGCCTACTGTTATTGCTGTTGGTTGCCCAGAAAGGGAAGATGATAAAATCCTGTTGCTAAAGACACAACACTTGTGGATTGCACGACACAGAGAAATCAACCACGAGCTGACCAGAAAAGTCCCAGGTGCCCATCGGTCATAGTGTTGAAATATACTATGAAACCAGGGTATCCTGAGGTAAACCGGAATGCTACAAAATAGATGCCAGACAAGATAGGCCAATGGGAAAGAAGGTTGATGGAGCTAAGCAACTGTTGCCAGCAAGATTTCAGGCCTGTTCCACAGAAGGGAAAACATACCTGGTACTTTTAACAGAGTCAAGACCCATGGCTACGGAAGTCATAAGTTCTCGGAGAGAACCTACTCTTGTTTTTCTAAGTGGTCGTGTTGACACATTGCCTTCTAAATATTTGTGATTCATCCATAGATTTCTGCTGCTCACAACCTGGCTCAGAGAAGCTCCTTATTGTGGTAATGGTAGTTTGTACAGAGATGCATTGCAATTTAAATTGTAAAAACAAGCAACCGTGACTACTCAGCATAAACGTGACAATTCTATCTGACCCCTAACCCTGAAAGCTCAGAAAACATTACAAAAAGGGGAGCAGAAGTGTGAAATGCTGGGTTCTGCACGTGACACAGCTGCTGCACACCTGAAGTCACAACTGCTGTGGCCACACTCATAAGACCTCCACGTGATGCATGGAGGTGGACTTTGAAGCCCCAGCCCTTACTAAGATGCTAGTTTTGGTTGATGGATTCTAGGGAAGGGAGAGTCACTGTTCTTTAGGAATGTGGCCCCGAGCACACTGTAAATAAGGGCTGCAATAATTAGACTTAGTGGGGTATAAGTACATTATTTAAAAAATAGGAGCTGTCTCAATACTCCAGTTTATCTAACACTAGCATAACCTCTGTTATTCTAATAGCTCCTCATTTCTTTACTCTTTCTACACCACTTTTGCAGGTGCTAGGATTTCAATCATGAGCCACTATGATTAGCAACACCTAATACTTCCCTTCAATCATAGTTTTACAACTGTTCTACACAATCCCTACTATGGAGCTATTTTTCCTGTAGAAGAAATAAAGTTGGGTCATATAGTCTACTGTTCTGTCACTGCCCGCTATCCGGTGTACACACACACACACACACACACACACACACACACACACAGTACTCACGAGTAACTGACCTTTAAACTGAAACTTGTAATGATAGTTTGTAAGCTGTTATTTATAACACCTTTATTGCAATAAACTAGGTTTTGCTTAATTTTCTTTAAGCATTATTTTAATTAAAGCAATATTAATTTCAGAAGAGGAAAATGTTTGCTGAGTCGTCCATCTCCCTTGGGCAAATGATTTCAGGAGGGAAGGTCTACATACAAACACAACCCAGGAAGCTGCATCAACTTCCTCATTCCCATGTCCCTTCCCATGTCCTATGAAGGGTCCCAGACAGCTTGTTCCCAGTGCACAGCAGGAAAATCAGTGTCATTTGCTGTCTGTGCTCATGACCAGTGTTGTCTGCTAAGATCAGACTCTGGTCTCTTTCCACCACAACACAGCTCGGCTTCTACACAGGCTTCAACCCCAGTGGCAGTGATGAAGCTTCATGAATATCCATGTACCTCAGTGGACCTTTGTAAAAGGGAAGTAACAGCACCTCTGACTGTCTAAAGACACAGAAAACCTGGATATTCCCGATTCAAGACCCTAATGCCAAACTCAATAAAGTTGATTGATATCCTTAAAAGATATAAGGGTAGAGGAATAATGGGATTGAGGGAATCCCTAGGTCTGTGCAGACACAGAACAGAAATGGGCCTGCTATGCAAACACAAGGATGTGGAATGAGGTGCACACATTTGAGGTTTTTTTAACACCTCATGCTTCTTCAACTTATCCATTTTCTAATGATTTTTAATTAAAATATAATTTAACTGCTGTATACTTTACTAAACCTTGACAGTGAATGATTTTAAATAAACTTAAGACTTGATTTTTTAATTAGAGATATGATTATCTACTGGAAACTATAAGCAATTATTTTGAAGAAATGTACTGCCTGCGGGTTGTGTTTTAAGGATATTAATTACTTATGGAAGTCTGAGATCACAGGGATAAGTCATTTGCTCAGTCTTTACATTTTAGGAATCACGGAGACTAAAGGATCATCTCTGAGGTGAGGGCCTTGTTGACAATAATGAAATTTTGTCACAGAAGTTACTATGTCTTAAAAGAAACAAGAACATTTTAGACTTCTTATAGCCTCAGATCTGAGATTATGACTAACTTAATAACATATTGACTAATGGTTTATCTAACTACAATAAAAAAGGAAGCTTTAATTATACTATGAACTAAAAGAAATTTAGGCCAACCTGGAAGTTTTAATTAAAAGATCACTTAATTATAAGCCAAATTGTAGAATGGAAACTATATAAAAACACAAGTACAAGAAAACACTACATATATACACATATCTCCAAGATCATTTTAAAGACAAAGATATTGTAATATCTTTCAGTTGTAACTTAGGCTATTGTTTAGATCTTAGATCATATTTTATTAGCATTACCCATCCTGAATCGAAAGCCTGTCCTTTAGAAAACATGGTTATAATCTGAGTGGAACACCTTGATGGCAAAGACGTGGATAGAACCTAATCTCATAATTGTTAAGGTTTAAGTACACAGAACAGACATCAGCTTTCTATTTAAATTATTTTTTTCCTGTTAATTTAAATTGGACAAGACCAGAACTTGGAAAAACCTGTCATTAAAGAGGAGTCTTACTTTTTATGAGTTAAAATTTATCTTAGAAATATTAATTATTGTTAGCTTAATACTTAAGAGCATAGACAATTTTATTAAGTTAGAAACAACTGATTTCTAGTCGATTTGATACTACATAATTTACATAATTTAATAACTGCCTAAGACAAATATGAACATTGCAGTTTTCTAGACGATCAATGGATAAAAGACACAAGGGGAAGGAGAATATCCTTATTGAGAAGCAGCTCAATTTCACAGTATTCTACAATGCATTTATCGAACTCAAAATCCAGCACTTTAGATCACATCAGTCAAAACACTGAGCAGAATGGGATTGGTCTTCAAGAAGCCAACCCCAGCTAAATAGGTATCAGCTGGGGGGGGGGGTGCAGAGTTATTTTTCTTCTGGAATGTGACCACTAGTAGGTTGTCCATTCCCTGTGGATGGCCACACACACTTGGACAGCATTAAGCAAACCCATGAGTTATAGAAAACAAAGAAAAAGAGGGAGGGAGGGAGGGAGGGAGGGAGGGAGGGAGGGAGAAAGGAAGGAAGAAAGGAAAGAAGGAAGGGAAAGGAAGAAAGGAAGAAATAAAGGCAGACAACAAAAACACACAAAATTAAGATTCAGGTATGCTTAGGGTGTACAGGCTAAATATGATTAACATATATCACTTATATGTAGGACATTCCAAGTAATAAAAATATATTTAAAAGTTTTGCTCGGCTTTTTAATAACAAAACAACAAAACAGATGTCCACAGAGCTGGAAAACAGTTAAACAGGTGAAAAGCTTGCCCTGCAACCCCAAAGACCTCAAACCCTATCGAGGATGTGTGCAAAAGTGAATACATACTCACCATTAGTGAGAGTTTAACATGCTGGAATTAATAAGCAAATCAACGTGTACCTGCCTCAAAAGTAAGAAATAGAAATAGCATCTCACCAAGATTCTATCTTGGGCTTCTCCTGAAAAGAGTCCGCACACTACAACAGCTACATGCACACGCATGGTGATTGTTGCTCTAGTCCCAGTTGGTGAAAAAGGAATCAGCGTGGATCTTCATCAGGTGATGTCTGGATAATGGAGATGCGGCACATAAATATAATGATCTCCACTCAGCAATGGAGAAAACGGAAATGAAATTCCCAGCAGAAGGGTGATAGTGGAAATGGAATTACACGGAGTCAGGTAACCAGAGCCCGCAGAGTAAGGCCCGGTGATGCAAGACTTTCATCTCAGAATGCATGAAGCAGAGCAGGGCGATCTCTGAGTTCAAGGTTAGGCTAGTCAACACAAGGAGATCCAGGGCTACAGAAAGAATAACCCTACTGCCAAAAACAAAACAAAACCAAACAGATCCTAATAGCCAGGCAGTGATGGAGAAACCCTGTCTCCGAAAGAAAAAAAGAAAAACGAAAAATATTAATTACAAATTAACTGAGTATCAAAATAACTACACGTAATAAATATATTACAAGTGTATTCCACACTCAAGCCAATGTTCAAATAAAAAACATGTTCTCTACTAGGTAGAAAGCTCACTTGTCTTTCTCTCAGATGAATATTCTGAAGCTTCCTGAATGGTCAGAAATTACACTACCTACATAAACCAACTATCCAGAGGCAAAGGGAAAGAGATGAAATATTAATTTTTTTCCCAAGGACTGAAAACGTGGAAATAACTTGTTAGAAAATTGATACTCGTTAGGTGGGGTAGTGGTGGCGCATGCCTTTAATCCCAGGGACTCGGGAGGCAGGGACAGGAGAATCTCTGTGAGTTCGAGGCCAGCCTGGTCTACAAGAGCTTGTTCCTGGACAGGCTCCAAAGCTACAGAGAAACCCTGTCCTGAAAAACCAAAAAAAGAAAAAAGATAAAAAAGAAAATTGACACTCGCAATCCCTTTTGTTTAAAGCAGCGTACAGCAAACATACAATGCCAATTTCATAAAGCTCTTTCCGAGCTTCACTGGCCTTTTCTGCAAAGTTGGAGAAAACGTTTCAAAATTCTTAAAAGATCACTGCAAAACAAAAAATGAAGCAAATTGAAATTTCTCTCTTCAAACTGGTAATTCTGGCCATCTGCAGTTAGAAGAACAATTAAAAATTCTCACAATTATCATTTTAAAAAATGGAAGAAAAGGGCAAACACCATACAGGATGAGAGAGGTGTTAAGGCGGTTTGGTGGGAAACTTCTCTAATAGCAAAAAGCATGGGAAACAATTTAAGGGAGACCAGATGGGAGAGAAAAGGGAAGACGAGACGAAAAAACTCCAAGGTGATAACGTGAAGAAAAAAAAAAAAAAAAACCGAAAGAACAGACATATAAACAAAACGTAAATCAGCCCAAACAGAAGAACAAGAGAAGGGAAACTGGAAGGACCAAGCAGGTCCCTACACAGCGCAGTCTGGACACAGCATCACCAACAGCCCGCGCTGCAAAATCTGTGTAGGCGCAGGTTCTCTGTAAGGACTCACCCAAGAGTGCTGTGATTGCGATGAAGCAACTTCACCCAGACAGAAGTGCGTGGGACGCGAGGCTCTCGGCTGCCTGCGGGGTGCACACTTTAAGCACAGGTGGGCACAGGCATTGCTGAGCCAGACTCCGCCTTCCACTGGACTGCACAGCACCGGGAAAACTCCAGGTCACTTAACTCCAAAGCAGCTAGAGTCCCACACCCGCCCCCAGGATTCCAGCAGCCCAAAGCTCACTCACCATTCCGTGCATCTGACGTGGCCAGGTGTCCTCTCAAAGAGGACTTCACTCAGCAGAAAACAGGGTCACCCAAATCAGGTCTTCCCAAGGATCCCGTATATTAAGCAAAGCATAAAAAAGAAAGGCTTCCTGGACTCTCGCTCTGACTATCCGTGCTCCTCATTGGACAGTTTTTTCTTTTAGTAATATGGTCCCTGATTGGCGAACTGTACGCCAGCCGCTCTGTCACCGTTAAGTGCTAACCATTTTAGAAAAAGTCAGGCGAAAGATCTACTGCCAGTATTTTTAAGGGAGGCAGAGTTTTGTAGTGACCCTGATTCAAACCAAACAAATATGACAGACATGGTGGTAAGCATTTTTTTTTCCTTGACGGGAGTTCGCTTTGTCGATCCCCTTGCCTCTGCCTCCCAAATGCTGGGATTAAAGGCGTTCCCCACTAAACCCAACGAGTGGTAGGCATTTTTAATCCCTGAAATGTTGAGGAAGTAGCAAGAAGATCACTTAATTGGAGGCTCACTTTATACAGAGAACTTCAGCACATACTACCTAAAAATATCCTGTCTAGAGAAAAAATTATTTAAAAAACAAGCAATACAAAAATTAATAAATTAAACAAAAAACACATTAACATATAGGCCTTGTGCTCTGAAATAAACCTATTCCATTGAAGGATTTCATTGCTTGGTAAGAACATGCTCTGAGATTTTGGGTGCCCTCACTTACTTGCAGTATTCTGAGAATACCCAGTATTCCCCACTTGCTTTTTCTGTGAAGCTGGTCTTTTCTTTTCTTTTCTTTTCTTTTCTTTTCTTTTCTTTTCTTTTCTTTTTTCTTTTCTTTTCTTTTCTTTGTTCCTGTACATTCCAATCTCTTTACTCAAAGGGAAGAAACAGAACTCAGGATAGGAGCAGGGCCAGGTAGATTCAAGCACAGAAACCCCAAATAGGGTTGAAAGGAAACCAAAAAGTTTAAGGATGAGGCAAAAGTCCATGACAGCCTCACAACCTATTTTTCAAAGTATTATTTTCTACCAATGTGATTAAAACACACTAGTAAGGGAATTTAATTGCTTATTGCATGGATAAAATAGACATACATATCATGAGTACTCCATCAGCACCCAAATAGTGGCTCCCAACAGTCTGTGAATCATTTTTCTAGGGTGTACAATGCCATCTTCCACCCTCTCAGATTCAGAGTTATGAAAAACAACCTTTAAAAATAAGAAAAATTCTTACCCAAGGCCATGAAGAAAGCCTTCATTGACTACAGTAAATACTCCAAAACCTCGAGGCCCACAGTGGTCATTCTATTCTCTACTGATGATGCAGAGACACTAAATGAATTGGACCTCAGTATGCCTGCTATTGCTTCCATGGCCGCAAGGTAAGTCCCTTTAACACTATAATATTCCTGAGAATAATAATGTCACTCACAAATGCATTAAGGTTTATTTAATTTATCTCAAGTGTACCAGTGTTTTTCTTGCATATACTTCAGTACGCTAATATGTGCTTGGGTCACTGAGAGGACAGAAGATGACATTGTGTACCCTAGAACTGATTCACAGACTGGGGGAGCCACTATTTGGATGCTGGGAATCAAACATGACCCTCTAGAGAAGAAGTCTGTGCTCTTAACTGCTGAGTCATCGATCCCATAATCACATTAAAATTTTAATAAACAGTAAATTTCACAAATATTTTTTCAGGAATCTACTACATTGGGTCTCTCTAAACATGACCGTTATAGATGATCTTCATCTGTGAGGGACTGTTTTGACAAATCTTAGCCTTGATGATGTCATTGACTGTTCTCCTAGATAAGCAATTTCCATATTGAGAAGTTCTGAAATACCTCCTTGAAAAAGATTATCACAGCTGGGCTTGCTGACCACTTAAACCCCACAATGAGGGATGGAGGAAGGCAAAAAGTTCTCAGTCATTATGGGTCAGCCCAGAGAGAAATAACTACTGAGAAAGCCTGTTGCCCACGATAGCCTGTCGCCCTTGGGCAAATGATTTCAGAAAGGAGAGATTGCATGTCAGGGCTTAACAGAGAAAATTGCTTCAACACCCTGTTACCAAGACCCTCCGAGCGCTTGCTATAAAGTGGCCCCACGTAACTTGCTCCCATTGCACACCTTCCCTGCACTGCAGGAAAGTAGGTATCACTTGCTGTATGTGCTAATGACCTGTGTTGTCTGCTGACATCAGATTCTGGTCCCTTCCCAGCCTTTTGTTTCCTGTACCCTGAAATCTAATACTAAAGAAAATACTATATTTTCTCCAAAGAACTTCATCCAGTAAAATGATTAATTACTGATTGAGTTTTTCTTTACAGAATATCTAATACTTGGATAAGCAGCTTAGATCAAAACAAATGACAATCCAATTCTCAGCCCATGATCCTCTTCACAGGGCTCTCAAAGGGCAAGTCGAGGAGAGCTTTTCCAAAATGCCAATTTTTTCCTCAGAAATGGTCAATGCTTAAGAAATCTGATTTAGAAACTCTATTCCTCTGTGGCTGGGAATCTTGACCTTTTCTCAAAGAGGGAACAATCCAGTCCTCTCTCTCATATGATCTTTTTCAAAATGACAAGAACACACTCTGAATGATCCATTTTGCTTGGGGGATCTAGCCAAACACCAAAGCCTATCTTTGTGTTATGTCAGGCATGGCTTAGGGTTCAGTCAGTACTGAGAAAATATAAAATTACAAAACGAATGAGAGGAAAACTAAATCCTCATAACCATGGCTCTAAAATGGACCACTGAGAAAGCATACCACCCATGACCCTTCACACCAGTCTGTACTCAGTGTCATCAATTTGACTGTTTAGCAATTTCTGAGAATTGCAAGTTCCAGGCACCATTTTATACCAAGAAAGTGGCCCCAGTAAAAGTAGTTTCCCTAAGAAAAACAGGGTTAGAGGCTTTGTACTCAGCAGCCTGATTTGCACACAATTCCAGCACACTGGGAAGAATGGACCCAGTGCAAGACTCTAGGGTATACTCTACACATGGCCAGGGGAGCAAACAGTCAGTAGCTCCACAGCCTCAGCAATGTCACAAATGCACAAATTACAAATCCAGAAGCCCTGGACATACTCACCCTCTCTTGCTTCCAATGGATCAGGATGTCCAATAATAGCAGAGAAGAGATGTGATATAAGTCCAACAAAACATGCCTCAGCTTATACACAGGATTCAAACCAGGGGCAGTGGTGAGGCTTCCTGAATATCCATGGACATTTGATGAAGAAAAGTAGCAGCGTCCCTAAGTGATAAAAGAGACATATTCCTGATTCAAGATCCTAAGGACAAAACCAATAAAGTAGGAATGAGGTCAACATGTTTGAGCTCTTTTCACACATGAGGTTTCCTTCTATTTCCGTTGGTTTGCTTGTTTCTTTATGTGAATCAGCTTCTCTCTATTATGTAGCACCAATTGTCCTTAAACACAGCATAGACCACGGTAGCCTGAGCTCCCATCACATGTCTCTGCTTTCAGAGCACTAAAAAAAAAAAAAAAAAGGTGTAATGTACCATTTCCTGCTACTCAATCTATTCATTATTTAATGAGAAAATCAAAATATCAAGAAAAGAATACAATTTTTGCATAGCATTGTAACTGGAGGCTTATTTCTCACCTGCCAGTTCCCAAATAACTACTCAGAGGCTTAATATTAATTACAAATTGTTGGCCCTATTGTCTCAGGTTTATTATTAACTAACTCTTACAACTTAAATTAACCACTTTCTATTATTCCATATCATAAGAAATAGGTTGCAATAATTTTTCTGTTGACTATGAATGTGTTATAATGTATTCTCTGGATTTTATTCTACAAAAAGCACTAGAAGAATATATTGAAGAAGACTCTAAAGATCTCAACAGGAATATGGGGTTATTTATATTCAGTAGAAAATAATTTATAGTATACATTTGAGATTCATGGCACAACTGAGAACCTGCCAAATACTCCAAATATACCTAAGTGAAAAATGATTCTGCACAAATTTCTTTAATGGAGCATTGAACTTTGACATTCAATATTTGTGTATTTCATGTATGTAATCTATTAATATCACAAATATGTCACTTTAGACTGAGCCCAGAAAAAGGGTTTCCAGTGGATTATTACACAAAACATCCCATTATATGCAAAGGTTTTACTTTCTGTTCATACTTATGAGGCTTTGAGCATCAGTACTGTGCTTTGTTTGATTTCTTTTGATGTGACAAAAAAAAAAACTCCACAACTCTGTGGTAGAGGAGAATTTTATACTTCCTTGTCACAGTCCCATCATAAAGGGAAGCCAAGGCAGGAACTGAAGCTGAAGCATGACTGGAATCTGGAAGCAGGCACTGAAGCAGAAGTAAAGGAGAAATCCTGTTTACTGGAGTGATCTTCATCCCTAAATCAGCTACCTGCCTTACTCAACCTTGGCCCACATCTCTAGGGGATACCACCCATAGTGAACTAGGACACTCCACCTTGATGTGGGTGGATCTTCTATCTATCTGTTTCTTTCATTGGTTGATTAATAAAGAAAACTGCTTGGCTTAATAGGTCAGAACATAGGTAGGCAGGGAAGACAACAGAATGCTGGGAGGAAGAAGGCAGTGAGGCAGACACAATGAAGCTCAGACCCAAGATGGACATATTTCGAATCTTCCAGGTAAGCCACCCCCTCGTGGTGCTACACACTTTAATAGAAATGGGTTAATCAAGATGTGAGAGTGAGCCAATAAGAGACTAGAGCTAATGGGCCAGAGAGTGTTTAAATGAATACAATTTGTGTGTTGTTATTGCAGGTATAAACCTAACCATGCAGGAGCCGGGTGGGACAAAAGGCAGGCCTGCTCTCCTCATCACCACAAATGGCGCCTAGACGTGGATAACTGAATCCACAGAAAGCCAGAGAAAGCTTGAGAAAGAATGGAGTAAAGCATGTTTTCTTGGGAGCAGCAATTTCTCTGGTCTGCTCTGCTTGCTAGAGGCAAGCAAGCACTCTCATCTAAGAGAGGCTTCCTGACTCAGCTTTAGCTGCAAAACCCTGCAGCTCTTTTAAGAGGTCCTGCCCCAAAACACTTAAACGGTGTTGACGAAAAGCTGAACACAT